GAGTGAATTTTATGACCTCACAGGCCTTTAAACCCTGTTAAAATCCCCACTGTACATCTTAAGATTCGCCTACACGTAAAAGGGAAAACAAATGCTCATCTCTTCATCGCTGAAAACCTAAATATTTGCAAATGTGTCTCTTTCTGTGGGACGTTTTTCTGGTTCTATATCAGTGGCGAATGAAACTATGGCAATAAAAACTCCAAGCTGTTTACAACTCAGCTACCCAAACGTTTTGACATTTCAAGAGTTGTTTTGGACCTCAAAACAAGATTTATTTATTAATTACAGTTGAAATGTATCAAATAGATCTATAACTTAGAAAGTTGCCCTTTAATCAAATTCTTTCAGACTAATTTGTTCTTACACTCTGCAAAAGCAAGTCAGCACCTGCACAGAAAGTAACAGGCTGTGGACTCAAATGCATGATTCAAAGACAAAACATGTTGTTTATCTGTTACCTTTTATTTTAAGGGGCAGCGGACAAGCTGTCAGAGGCCAAAGGAGCAAAGCAGGCAAACAAAACATCCAAGAAGACAGACAACAGGTCGTATCAGAGCAGGTAGAAACAGTAACAGGAGAAGGTTGGAACACCGAGGTTTAGATGGCACAACAGACAATATGCAAAGGAAGAAAGGGCAAGTACACTACATATACAGGGAACTTTATGATGGAATTGGGAGCAGGCGAAAGGTGGGAACACGTGGAGCAGCACAGCAGAAAAACTGAAAAGCAGTATGAAATTGGCTGTTGCCATGATGCACATCTAGCTAGCTCAAACATCTGCTAGTGATGAGCGGATTGGTCCTAAAATATTAATACTTCCAATCCCAGTGTTTCCTGTTCTAGGATCAATTCTCATAGTAAAAGACTGATATCTAAATCTATATTTTATGATCAGCAGGGGACACAGTAGAAAGTAACTACACTAATAGCAATACAGTCTAATGCCTAGTTGATAGGAAAGCTCCTTCCACATATCATATGTGAACTACAGCTCTGTAAATGCCTGAGCCAATGAGAATCAGATTAATAAAATAAATAAAAAAAAGGCTGAGAGCAGTCCTTAGTTCGATCTGAGGTTGAAATCTCTGACAGGGCAGCAGTGAAGGCAAGGCAGAATCGTAGGTCGGTAGAACAGGCAGGGTGTCGATATCAGGATAGCAGTCAGGCAAGAGGGAGGAGGCTGGATCACAAGTCAGTGGAGCAGGCAGGGGTTCGGTACCAGCATAGCAGTCACAAGAAAATAAAGCTGGAGAGTCTAGACAGGGCATAGAACAATCTGACTGACACCCAGCTACACTCTAGACAGGGCATAGAACAATCTGGCTGGCACCCAGCTGCATACAAGGTGGGAAGCTGCTATATACTGTGGTGAGCAGGTGTGAGTGATTATGGGACAGGTGAAACCAATGTGCATGATGAGATGAAGTTACCGGGAGTTAGGGTGGGCTGGAGACAGGAAGTGGTGTCAGAATAAAAGCAGGACCGGAAGTGGACGGGGCAGGATCATGACAGGTACTGCACATCACTAACTGCCATTTTCATGAAATGCAGTCCTGATGGTTTTTAGCCCCAGTAGTGTTAGTTACAGAATATTAGACTCTGAGGAAACAGTGTTTGGGTCATCGGTATTTTAGCACGGGCTGTACTTTTAGTGTTTTCTCAGTGCAGCTTGTGTGAACCTCTACCCAATACTGTCTGACTGGACCCAGTAGATCTGACAAAGCAAATTCAAAACCATAACTATATTAAAGGAACGGTTTTAAACACAATGTAGATTTTGTATGTATGCTACCATCATGTGAACCAAATCTAAGGATCCTAAACCTTTTGCATATCGGATTTGCCCAATGACACTTCCAGCTTCCTTGTTGGCTTCATCCCTTGCAGCTGATGCAGGGTTGAACAGTGAGAGGTGATGTCTCTGTGCAGCTCGGTGTGACAGAACAGCTCAGACACTCTAAATCTTCTTATATGAGTGATCATGAAAGAAAGCAACATCTTCTAAAATCGATTTCCCAGCTTCCTACTTCGTGAGTCAACACTAGCAGCCAGCCACACAAATTATGTACCAGGAGTGTTTTCTCAGCAATCGATACCAAGCTGTGGTTTCACCTGAATAAGCACTCTGAAAAAGCTATTCATCCACACAGCTTCATGTACAAAGACGCCAGCTGAATAATAATGCCAAGCTGGTGTCACGCAGACATTTTATACTAGTCAGAGAATGGTTTTTAAATAGGGGAGCTGGTTGACATCAGCAATCATTAGGACCAGAGATGATCTGCCATTTTTCCTGGAGCTGAAACTATATCCCAAAGGTTTAGTCAGTGGCTGGAGGCGCTAGTCCCCAAGTCATTAAAAACTGTGCAACTGTAATTGTAGCATCTTGTACTATAGCTCATGGTTTTGGTTTGATGACACATTGAAGTGAAGGGTTCAGTTTCAGCCCCGTGTTCCAGCAGCAGCAGGCAGCTGTTTTCAGAAAAAACCAACTGTACACCTGCCCAGCATCAAACAGCAGACAATACAGGGTTGACAGCATTGGTTGGCCATAAGTGTGACTCCAAGTGAATGCTAATGCTACACTGTTTGTCCAGGCATCAGTTAGCTATCAACACATCTACATAATGGGAAAGATCTGTCAACTTGTTTTGTTATTTTCCTGATCAACAGAAACCAAAAATCAAAGCAACTTGACCCTGTTTTATAATGTAATGTATGTACGGCATGTCATATGTGGGGGTGTAGCTGACCATGTAGACACCGCATCCTGTTAGACACTGTGTAAAATCTGAGTTAATGTACTTTTAGATTTCAAACTCTATAGAAAATTGTTCTGTATTTTTCCATTTTCCTGTCAGAAACCAAATCAAATTGTGACCAGTGATTTTTTTGTGGTCTACCTTTATAAGCTCGCTAAAAAAGTTGTAGTTATACCCTTTGATACATTGGGTGGCACCTCCACACGAACAACTGTAATATCATAAATGCATCTCATTTACAGGTTCATTAAGGTGGTAAATAACAGGCTGAGACATAGTGAAGGAGATGGTGCTCTCAGAAAAGTTCTTCTGAATGAATGAGGGATAAGAAATCTGGACACAGTGTTCTGCAGGACACCACTTTGAATCAGGTCTAACCTCATAATGCTGCATATGACTATGCGGCCGGTTGTTCGGTGCTCTGTCAACAGATGTTTCACCACCCACCTAGATTGAAACACTGTGTTTAATTATGTTCTAAGCATAAATCATATGAACAACAGAAAGTATAGTCAGAACTGCATTACTGTACTGCATGGACAAACGGACTTTATTCACAAACTCTTTCCACCTATAGAGCAAAATATCTTGTTTTTTTTTTTTTTTGTCTTGATTTATGTACAGAGTGTTAATGCAGCAGACGCGAGAAAGAAAGAACAGCATCGGAGAATATGACCTTCAGAGCAAAAAGATGTCAATTAACTATGACTTATATTCAAAATGGCTGGAAGAATGAGATAACTTCACGAAGCACAAAACAAGATCTCATTATACATTAAACAAGCCATTATAAAGATTCAAGGATCGTGTGATTAAAAAGGGATTCCAGCAACTCGACACCAGCTTGCTGCAGTGTTACATCATATTGATAGTGCACCACATTTCAACTCACTTTAACCTTGATCTGCACAGTTTATAGATGATGTCCTTGGCTTTTGTGCTCTTAAAGTCCTTGGAGCAAAAAAAAATAGTCTGAAATAAAGGTTGTCGACAAATCAACATTTGTTTCCTTGAAGCTAAGATTATCTTGAGGCCACAGGAAAGTGCAGTACACCCATCTGCTGAATAAACAGCCATGCACTAGTAGCACAGAATATTATGAATAAGACTGAACAAGCAAAACTGTAGTTGTTCCTTGGCTGTCAGCCAGATAACAGCAGTAAATCAGTTGATTTTACATGTGTTCACCCCAGCTAACAAAAACTAACCCCAAAACTCAGTGGTTTATGGGTAAAACCATCTCTTTGAAAGTTTCTCAAAGACGACACTGGGCTGATGCTTGCAGGTTATTGGCGATGTCCAAAGTACAGGCATGTGAGTGAGTCTGTGACTTTTGTTTACAAGCTCACATGCACTGTGAAACACACTGGAGGATCTGCATCTCAAAGCACATTGTGTTTTTCCTCTGTAAAGACAAAGAAAATTAATAAATGTATGCGGCTGTAGTTCTGCTTCCTGGGCAGCCACTGGTTTCCATTTATTCCTGCACAGCAGGCTCTTCAAACGCTCTCTTGAATAGAATTTTTGGCTCAAGTTTAGCTACTTTTGTGTGGTCATGTGGTTGTAAATGAAGCCCGAGTCGAAAAGTCTACTCTGTATTATCTCGCAACAATAATTGACGAATTTGATGTTAAAGAAAAATGACTGGAAACCACTGGTTGCCTGGAATATACTTTAGGTAAATGCTCTATCTTCAAAAATGTGAAGTGTTGAAACATAATTTGATTATCGGAAATGTAAAGTAGAAGTATTTTGTAGTAATTGGTCTACCTCACGCATGCAACCATATGTGGTCCTTATGATGCTCCTTTTACATACAGCAGAACAAAAACCCAGTTAGTTTCAAGATGCTTCTGGGAAAACCAGTCACCACAAACTAGTTTTCAACACAACACAGGTTCAGCTACTGTACATGCTACATAGAAGAGCTGCTGTGCAGAAGCAAAACTCCCCCCTTGTATCATACAAGTAGTAATCTACAACACTTTTTATGGTCTCATTCCAGTATTCATATTAAAGTAGGGATGTGGTGTAAGGTACACAAGATTACTGCTGCCGAACTGATTCAAAGACTGTCACTAACTTATGGACAGAAGGTTCTTCAGAGGGATTTTCATTAAGCACCTGCACTGCAAACCTTTAATTCACAGGTTAATCCACTGGAATAAGGCCCTTTGAAAATGAAGCGTCACCCCCAGGCAGCTAGACACATTTACTACTCCATCTACTGTGCTTTTATTAAGGCAGACATTAGTGTTACTTCACTGACAAGCCACAATATTGCTTCCACTAGGATGATAAAACTTTGACAATAAAAATCATTTCCATGTTATTTCACCTCATTTCCAGTATTAGCAACGTACCTCACAGACTGGGCACTGATGAATGTGACTCTAGCATACTGTATGAAAACATATCAGAAAGTTACGCACTAAAAATCAAACAAATATGATTTTGTGCTAGAGACAAGATGATCAGCATCACACACACACACACACACAAAACAAAGAGCAGTTGTGGGCGTCAGTTCAGTAAAACACTCCGGTTTGGCAAATGCCCAAACTTAACATCACTTGGGAAAACAGAAGGCATGGTGCAAAACCCGCAGCCGTTAAATTCACAATGATTTAAGTTTTATTTGTTTAATTTGGATCAAACTGCTCTTGATCCCACTAAACCAATTCTGTCAAGCCAGATAATAAAAAGTAGCTTGTGGTGCTAAATGCCAAACCTTGCTTTACCCAAGTGATGCTTATTAGGTCAAAGCTCATATAGACAGAGAAACTATAATAAATATACTTTTAACAGAACACAGAGAAACATCTTTATCAACCTCACAAAAGTGTTTAAATGTGGTGAAATGTCACTTTGGAAAACACTTTGGCTGCATGGATCATTACAATAGAAGGAAGGTCTGTCTATATACTGGACTTGTCCAGTGGTTTCCTGGCACAATGTTTACTGAGGCAGAAGGAGGCGAGATGAGTGGAAATAAGAGGAGGAGAAAGGAGATGATACAAGAGGAGAAAGGAAGAAAAGATGAGTAAAGGAGAAGGCAACAGAAGAGACGAGACAAACTGGAGGACTGGATGAAAGGAGAGGAGGTGAGATGAAGGAGGAGAGAGGACACAGGACAGCAGCGTGAAGGGACGAGAGGAGCCAACACATAAGGTCAAAAGAAAGTGATGGAGACAGGAAAACATATGAAGTGAAAGGACAAAAGAAGATAAAACAAGACAGGATGAGACCAAAATGACAGAAGAGAATTATGAGAGGAGATGAACGATAGAGGAGACAGGAGGGGGAAACAAGAGGAACCAATAACAGGGAGTGTCCTCCAGTCACAAGGAGGTTCTCCGTCCTATTGTGGAAGCGCTTTCAGAATGGCGTTCACCTCCTCAGCAACGGCCGTCAGTGCAAACTCAAACTGATCCTGCAAAGAATCAAGAAAAAAAAAGAAGAGAAAGGAAAGTGAGAAGTATTGAAACACAAAAGAACAAAACAGAGCGGGCTGTGATTTCAGTGATATGTGTTGCCAAAGATGATCAACCTGGTGATTGTATGGAGATAAAATACTATCAAAAATGTTACAAATGCATGTTTAACGTTTTGTCTGTAACAAGCGATTTATGTGTGTGTGTCATGCTGTTCACAAATGCTTGCTGTACAAACTGCACATAAAACACATTTTACAAATGCTTAAAATCGATTTTTCGTGTGCAGTTCTTCAGAAAGTCATGGCCTTTTGAGAGTGTGGAAAAACACTCCCAAAAATCCGTGTGTGCGCGGAAGGTGATTCGTGTGTGTTAGATGAGCCACGCATGTGTAGGTAACAATGTGTATGTACTTTCTAAAGAACTGCACACAAAAAAATCGATTTTAAGCATTTGTAAAATGTGTTTTATGTGCAGTTTGTACAGCATGCATTTTTGATCCTCATGACACACACAAATCGCTTGTTACAGACAAAACGTTAAACACGCATTTGTAACATTTTTGATAGTATTTTATCTCCATATATTCCTGCATTAACAACAACTTGGCTGTTTGACAAAGTCCTACAAAAGTCCTCTGTTTGTTCCCCACACATCTGTGGTTTCACTTAGGCTTCCCACTGAATCTCTCTGAACAGTCTTATGCTCACATCACCAAAAACAAGGTGCAAGAAGCTCCGAATTGCTAGAAATGTGTGATATAGTGCCTCTGCATCACCTGTGTGACTTCAAAAAAATCCCAGTCCAAAATTATGGGCAGTTGCTTAACTGCCTACACTGATCTGGTTTCAGGTTCTCCACAATGGTTCAGGATCTGGCTGCAGGGATCTACTCCCAGTCAGCCACAGGAGCATTACAGTGGTCCAGCACTGATGTTTGGTGATAAGGCCCGCCTCACGTTCTGTGCCCCAGTTCCTCCCAGTGGTGTTACATGGGACTGATGTCAGGGCTCTTCCACAGCAAAGTGGGAACACAGATTCTCTATGGGCCTGGTTTTGCCCATGGGGGAAGCAGGAAAGGACCAAATACAAACCACTGACAGCTCAGAAAGAGCACTGTTTGCAGTAGCATTACAAACTCAATTCACTGGAACTAAACGGCCGAGTCCAAACCTGAAACACAGCCTAACATCATACAGGCTGTGATGTGAGTGGCGGGGCTGTTTGGAGGTAAAGCCTGCAGACACTACTCAGGACACTACCACATGAGCAATCACCGCTGAGAGAGCACTGTGACAGTTGTTTGCTCAGGATACAAGGTTTAATAAAGCCTGGATTAAACTTGCTGTTTACACACATGCTGCCTTTTGTTTCTAATTATGTTCAGCTGGTAAATGAAGTTTCCACACAGGCCTGGTGTCATCCTACAGACAGTATGACAAGGACAGTAGGCCTGGTGTCATCCTACAGACAGTATAACAAGGACAGACTGGTTGTATTAGGTGATGCTCTGAGGTCTCTGAGGCTGCGGTGTGACTCACAGTATCTGTGGTCGCTTTGTATAGAGGGTCCATAGAGGGTGTCTGTGTTCCTATTATTCACTCTTTAAATACAAAAAAACTTTTAAATCCATATTCTTGGGCTCCATTCATTAGAGGCTGTCCTCTAACTTCTGACACTGCGACCACATCGGCAGGGTTTAGTAGAGACTGAATTCTATACATATTTCTCTGTTACCTGGACAGACCCGACTATAATCCCTGTTCAATTACTTTTCAGAAATCGATTGATGTTGCTCGATGCAGAGGAACGAGCCCCCCAAAACTGCAAATCCAACTAATCTCACACCGGGGAACAAAGGATACCGGCCGACCTGAGGGTTTTAATGGAGGCGTGATGGACTGTTAGACAGAGTGTACTGTGATGTGAAGGTCACAGGTTTGATCGTAGGAACTAAACAGCAAAATCAAGAATGGCAAGATGACATTTGGGACTTTGTGGAGATGACTCTTCAAATCGTTTTCTTTCCAAACTTTCATACAGCAGAGATGGCCTGTTGGACAACGTAAAGGATCAGCTGCAGCTTTCGTACTGACGTCACTAATTATCTCCCGATGTTTGGTGCAAACTTGGTTGACAGAAAAAGTGATCAGATACTTTTTCTGCCTGCTCATTTGTCAGCTTATAATGACCTTTGTTTATGTTTTGTTCCAAAACAAATGGTAGCGTGCTGGTCTTCTCACGGTTGGTTAAGAGGACGGCACAACAATCCTATAATCTCCCTAAAAGCAAGTGGTATGTATATACTGTACATATTGAAACGTCAGCTCAATTAGCATGTTTGCTATTACTTTTCTCACTGATTATCTTTTATACTTTTGCAATATTCAGTGTTTTTCAGATATTTTTCCTCATTCAAATGAACTGACAGTGTTCAAAATTCACACGCTTTCCTGAAGTTTCATACATCTTTCAGCTCTTACTACTCACTCATATGTTCAGATAAAAACCCCATTTAAAACTTTAAATATTCTTCTGTATTACTACTTGTATGCAACTTTTAAATCGCCTTCATATTTTTTCTCAAAATTCAGGTTGAACTGAACTTTAGTTACAATGGGAGTCAGTGAGAGAAACCTTAGCTTAAGCTGTTCAACAGGCAGCAATCCCACTAGTTTATTTAATATTTAACCTTTTCTTTTAGTGGTGAACAGCATATCAGCTAAACATGAACACAATGGGAAACATCTGGATAAATACAAACACACGACTGAATATGTGTCTAGATCATGAAGTTTCCAAATCGAGTGCTTCTTTCAAGGAAACTCCTCTGAAAATCAACATCTGCTTGTAAAACTCAACGTAACTAACTCCTCACAACTAACTCTCTCAGAATTTTCTCTGATTTCTCTGTAATTAGCTCCAAATGACAGAGTTGTTTCTGGGAAAAACGGTCAGCAGACATTTTCCGCGTGAACAAACAGGATTCAGGTGTGTGTTACCTTGGTCTGAACCATTCCTGGCCTCTGGTCTCGCAGGTGCTCCAGAGTTGCTGCGATGTCAATCTCCTTGGCGCCTGTCATGCACACACACACACACACACATATATATATAAAACTGTGTTGGAGTGTGTTCAAAGTGCCACCAGCTAACATCTGTCAATCTGGTGTTTTATACCGACTCCCTTTAGAACAGCACATTGCGATTACATTCATCCTCTTTGCACAAAAAAAAAAAAAAACAGACTCTACAAACTTCTAGGTTGTGGCGTTTTGTTGTCAGGATGAAAACAGATAATGAGGGAAAAGAAACAGTTGGAGAGGACTTTGTGGAGGAAATCACAGGCCCACATGTCTGAGGCATTTTCTAAAGGAAACTGAGCCAATCTTAAAGCCCCTTGTCGGTCTTTGATAGTCGTCCTGTAGCCTTTGAGCCTGTGAAGGTTGCCTACCAGAGCTCTGTTAGCCCCTGCCAAAATCTGACATGCCTTTGTGTGTGTGTGTGTGTGTGTTGGTGTGATTCCAGTTTGCTAGCCAGTCAGCCCATCAGCGTGCCAGACTGGCACAATGCCCCGTGGCTGTCGGCAGCATGGCTGTCGGCAGCATGGCTGCCTGCAGTCGGCAGAACGACCTCCGACCAGTCAGACCACTACACACTGATCTGAACACAGGAAAACGTATTTGCATCTGAGGTGCACAGTCATCTGACCAGTTCATTCAGCACGTGAACCTGAAAGTCTTTCACTTCCCTGAAAGCAGACACATTAAAATTCCTTTCTGTTAATAGTGTTTTCTACATAATTAGGACCAAACTCTTAGTGATGAACCAAATTTGCAGCTCCCGTCTTTACGGAGGGGGTCGCTTCACCCACCAAACCTAACTAGATCTTATGTCATGTGGCAGAACTAGAAGCTGCAGGTGCCCAAGCTTTAGCTGAAAAAAGAGCAGAGAAACAAAGAAAACAGAGAAAAAGATGAATGAATGATTGAAGGGAAAATAGATGAGTGGGAATGAAGACATATAAAAGAAATGGAGAAACAGTTGAAGGCTGGGAGAGAAAAGACGAGAGAGCGAGAGAGGTGTGAGCAACAGTCACAAAGAACAAGAGAAAGAAAAAAACATTTAATTTGTTTTCTGTCTCCTCCACCTCTATCTAAATTCCAAGGAAACAAAAAGCGCAAGAATTCTCTTTACTCTTTCTTGTTGTGACACATAATAACACTTCTTATTCGTGCCTTCATGAAGAGGAAAATGAATGGTGGGAGCCCGGCTCATTCACACCACTTTCTCTTTCTGTTTCATGGGTTTTGGAGCTTTTTTCGTTTTTCCAACACAATAGACTCCCTTCTAGCCAGAAAAGCTGCTACACACTACTCACTGCTTTAGGTTTTCTTTTTTCAGGGGGGAGGACTTAACAAGCTGAGGGCTATTGTGTAGGTTCTGATAAACCTCCGAATGGACGGTTTTTAAAAAAACGCCTCATTCCAACATTCCCTCTTTGCAAAACTCTCCCTTGGAGGAGATGGTGGAGGCATGAAAAAAAGAAAGAATTGTACGAATAACAACAACAACAAAAAAAAAACCTGGCCTCATTTTGAGTTTCCCTCCTCTACAAGACCCTCAGTTCAGGGTGGAGGTCGAAGAGTAGGACTGAGGAGGGTGTGGGGGCTACAGAAGAGGAGACGGAGGAGGGAAAGATGAAATAGAAAGACAGAGCCGTTGAGCAGGGCCCAAAAGACCCCGGAAAGCCGAAGCCGGGAGCTGAGCTCACCAGCTGGACCTGTGGGAAAAAAGAGAAAGATAAAATGCTGGGATGTTGAAAAGCTCGCCAGCACTCGAAGAGAAGGGTGGCAGGCGGGGGGGCGCATTAGAGAGTGGGGGGAAATGTAGGAGCCTTTTGGGGAAAAAAAACGTGAAAACCACAGCAATACCTCCTCAACCCTACAACACCGCCATAACTCTCGGACGAATTTACAATTCATTCCTCAGGATGAAAAGAGTGTGGAATGGAGAAAGAAAGGGGGCAGGAGGAGGAGGAGGGGGTGGGAACGTGGATGAAGGAAACAGGACTGATTTTGTATCTGAGAGGGAGGAAGAGGAGGAGGAGGAGGTAGTGCTTTTGATCAGGTTAGAGGAAGCCTGCAAACCTGGGGGCCTCCAGCTTCTCAAGACAGACAAAAACCTCCAACACAGAGGCGGTGGAAAGCTGCGATGTGGTGGAGGAAAACCAGCCTTCATCTCCGAGCAAGAGATTTTATGACCCAGAGTGGCTCTAATATATGATAAAAGCTCCAACCAAACAACACACTTTCAAGCTTCTCTGTGTATTAAACAGATCCCCTATTAGTTTTTTGATTCTCATTGACGATGCTGAACAACCTGTTTGTCTGACAGCTGAGAAGCAGATGCTCTAAGTTGCTTCACCTAAGTAAAAGCAGGCATCAGTTTAATCACCGGTCTGAGTATGAAAACGTTCTTCTGTGGCTCGGACAGGTGTGAAAGTGAGCAGGCTGATCTCGGCTCGGCCTCGGAGCCCTGGAGACCAATGTTAGGGTTTCAGCCTGAAAGACGTGGCTGTTCAGGACGGGTCTAACGCTCTCCAGCTGCATGTTGGGTAGTGTAGTGTGTTGTCACGCTTGATCCATAAAGACTAATAGTCAGGATATATCAGACTCTGCTGCATGATTTTGGGCATTAAAAACATCTTCCTTTCTTCTCTCCAACATTATGGAACTGTAGTACCACACTCTGCATTTTAGAAGTATTTGGATGGATGGATAGATAGACAGACAGACAGACAGACAGACAGACAGACAGACAGACAGAAGTATTTAAAAAATTGAAGAAATAAGTGTAAAACAGAGTAATATATCAAGTCTATATATGTATATACATATTGAGTAACATGTGCGAGGTATACAGTATACATAGGGTACACATAATAAGTAAATGTGCATGAGGTACCTGTGTGCAATGCCAGTACTGTATGTGCAGGACTGAACACTGTGTGCAAAGATAAAAACTGATGCCATTACATGCAAAGGTAAAAACAGGAGTAAACAGTGTGCAGTGCAGTAGCATAGTGTCATAGTGAGTAGGATATTCACTTCTCCCACACACACACATAATAAAAACTCAACTTTTGGCCAACTAAAGCCAAAACTGGTACCTAAACAGAAGGACAAGTGAGGCAGCATCTGGAAAGACACGGTGTACACAGATAGGCGCTTTCAGTAAGTGGCAGCAAATAACATTTTGCTATGAAGCATATCTTCATCATGACCATCTCCTCCTATTCTGACAAAGACATGTTTATTCAAAGTTGTGCTCAAGATCTCATCTTTCTAGATCTTCCCTAAATCTGGTAGTTAACGAACTACGCCCCACATATGTTAGAAATCAGAAGCTCATTTTACACTTGAAAAATACAAACTTTGTAAAACTTGTAATCAAAAACCTTTGGTTGGTTTCTGTCCATGTATCAATGGATTAGTATTTGAGCTAAGATACATTTTAATATACCAGGTCAGGGTGATCACTTTTTAAGATTGTCATATGTTAAATATTTATATTCAAAGCACTGTAACAACAGTTGTCAAGTAAAAGTATTATGGAGGAGTAGAATGATGAACTACAGTAGCAGAAAAGGGACAAGTAAAATACATCTCAATTATGTACCAAGTAGAGCAGACCTACTGAGAAATAAACAGAGCAAAGAGAAAGGAAGCAGCCCACTGCTAACCACCAGACAAACGTACACTCCTCGTGTCTTCACTGTCAGGTGAGATTCTCGTCACTGCTCTTCTGGGGATTTTCATGTTTTAACTCAAAGGATTACACACTTGTGTTTGTGGGTTTAGCAGGTTCCACAGCGCCTCAGGTTTATAAAACCTCGTCAAAGGCAATTAGATAAACTGAAATACAGAGGGCTGCCAAGACTCAAAACAATGCTCCGTCTTTACACAGAGTTCTCTGTCAAACTCACTGGTGCCTTGTCGAACACACAGGGATCTCACGCTGCTTAATAAGAGCTGAAATCCACTTCGATTCTCATAATAAATAAACTTTTCTAAGACCTCGGACACATTTTGACCTGATTCCATCATGTTTCCCTACTTACTGTCCTTTCACTGACAAGGAGGCTGATAATCAAATGCTGTGTTCATTTGTTTCTCAGAGGTGAATCCCAGTTCCACTAACTGCAGCCACGTGTCCCTCACTTGCATCTTTTCCTCGCGTCTTAGCCCCGCCCATGTGACAAGGAAGAAAATGGAAGGACAAACTATGAGGCGAGAGGAAAGAGGCAACATGTTTTAACTGACATGAGAAACCTTTTCTCCAGTCCATCATGTGAAGTGCCCAGTCACAAACTGGTTTCCAATAAAGAGGCATGTCAATCCGTTACAAACCCCTGCAAAGGATGCACTCATGTATCTTCAACTATAGCTTCTCCAGGCAACCTCCTCACTCCTCAGAGCAGAAATAAGAGCTGCGAGACATCCTTCATCATGGTGGACTGGAACGACTTCCCGGTCGAGTGAGGACTGAGAACCGAGGAACAATAAAATACAGGAATTGGGATTCACCCACTCAAGGTCTAGCCTCAGTTTCCAGTGATGCTACTCTATGAACCATATTCACAACAGTAACTTACCAACACCCCCTTTAATGGAACATGCATTTTGGAGCAGTGAATCTGTCTCATGCAAAAGCGAGTTTTTGTTACAATAAAATAACATTAGGATCGAAGTACACATCATAAAGCTTGCAGCTCCAATTAGAAGCAAATAGTTATACATACTCATACTACAATAAACCCCTAGATGTGTGGTGAGTGCGATGCTATGGATAATGCTCAGAAAAACTACAAATAGAAGGAAAATATTTATACATACTGATACTATGTATCAGTATGTATAAATATAAACAGTATGTTGTTTCTCTTGTCAGCTAACTACATTTGCTACTAATGATTCCTTAGGCCCTTTGATGCGGGAACTGCCCTGATGGGAATTCGAAGGAAAAACGATGCTGAGAACTTTCTTTCCAAATTAAATTTGGGATTCAGGACACAGATAAAAGAGCAAAGAGGACACCTCCTCACATCCTCTCACTCCCACCCAGCCCTGCCCTTTCCTCCCCGGCCCCTGGGTGCTGAGGAGGAGCACCGGGCCCCTGATCACACTGTGACAGCCTGGGAAAAGGCCCCTGATGCCTGACTGACCCTTTGATCTGGAATTAAAGACCCAGGAGCTCGTTCTGCCACAGCAGAGCAGCCATCGTGGGACATACACACACACACACACACACATAAAGAAAAAAGATATGCAGACCCACGTATACACATGAAGTCTGCTTGGACATCAGCTTCTACCTTTACCAAGTAATAACAACGAAAACAACTGTGGTCAAATCTTAATCAAAACATTTTATGTTTCTTACTTTTTTATTATTTTATGAAAAGTTGCTCATTACCACTTTTTCAAACTAAGTAAAACCACTGCTGTGCAAGAAGTAGACAATCCCTCACAGACTCTTTGGGACATTCAGGTTGGACACAGTCCTCTGTGTGGTCCTTTGAAAGGTAAAATATACACTGTCCAGCACAGCAGCACTAAGAATATGTACAAGGTGCAATTTAAAGCCGATGTTATCACTTACACTCAAAAAGTGAACGTAACTTGTACCCAAAAAAATAATCCTTTATACGAAATACCTACACTGTGTTTATCATATCATGCTGTAATTATAGTAATTACCCAAAGTGCTTAAAATGCACTGGCTGGAGCTCTGATGACATTTCAGATGAAGCGTTCAGGGTCAGATCAGTTTGACTCCAAACAGGTCCCACTTTAAAAGTATCGTCCCAGATTACACATGTCCAGCTTCTCTTACATCCCCTCTCTTTCCTTTGTCACCTCTTTTTTTAATCTTACAGTGTTTGAATGTGTGTTTTTGGGCTGACAGGAGTGTTGACAACAATGAAGCAGATTAATTTGAGCTAATTGAACAAAAGCTATTAAAATCACAGTTTGTTTTGTTTGGCTCAGGGACAGACAGTAACTGTGATTGAGCTGTTTTGTGTTAATGGAAAAAATACTCTACCCATCACTGTAATTGCCCAATGAAATATATTTTTTAATGCAATCATCTGACTTAAAAAAAACCCAACTATAATAGTGGTAATATTTTGACAGCCTTGTTTTTTTGGGGGGGACATGTTGCCATGGTAACACCTCTCCAGAAAGAGGGAGAACCGATGGGGGGAGATTAAACTCACCTTTAGCCATCTTGTTAAGGACCATGTCGATCAGGATGTAGGTTCCAGTTCTTCCGGCACCGTCACTGCAAGGGTGGACGAGAGACAAAGAGACAGAGTGGGGAGAGAGAGGGAGCGGAAGAGAAGCATTAATTAAATGTCTGAATTTAAAGAAATGACTTGATGATGTCATATAATTTGTGACAAACAAAGGCATGAAAGACAGAAATACGTTAGCAAGCTGCGCTGTAATTCTCCAAGACAGTGTCAAACCTCGCACTGTGTGACCTGGATGAGTATTTAGTGCATAAAATGTTTACATGCTGCTAATTGTAAAAGACTAAACCCTGAAGAAGCAAAACTCTTTTTACTGTAGCTGCTTGTCCCTAAAGTATGTTGTAGTCTCACCATGGATGATCATAGATCGAGTCATTTTCCAAATAACATACACAAGATCTCAAACTATACTGTTACTGTTTTACACTGCAAATAAAAATGCTAAAAATCATTCACTTTCCTGTTCCCTGTCAAACCTTTCACTCTAAGATGAGGTAAAACTGCCATTTGTGAGGTGTTTAAATTTTGTTGCTGTACCTATAATCACACAGCCACTGAATTTCTTATGACCGCTATATTAAACATTTAATTAGGCATATTCTTTATGTGTTGCCTGAAGTACGGCAGCTCCTCATGTTGATGCTTGCTGGGATGCTCCCTCGGAGGGATTCACCTACTGTTACAGTGTGAACAATGCAGCTGTTTTGGTGTTTTTGTCCAACCTGCAGATATTAATTTTGTTTTCTTGTCACAATCCTCCATCGTGTTCACTTCTACGTTCTTTCTGTGCCCGCTGATATAAATTCAAATCAGATCGAAAACCAGTGGAAATGATTACATTTTATGTTAACAGCCATTTTGAAACACTGGCGCCCCCCTGCTGCTGCATGGTAAAGTTATGAAATCTGAACATGCTCCAATAGATCCTCTCTCATATTCATGTTATTGTTTTACTTTTCTGGAGTGAAAACAGACGAGACCTGGCGCCAAGCAGTGCCAAGCAGGAGAGCAGCAGAGATTTCACATGTCAAGGTTTATGATCCATCTAATGCTATTTCAAGGGGAGAAACAACTTTAAAGATGTATAATTATAGAGGAGAAAGGCTGCAGCTTTTTTGTTTTGGGTCAGGAATTGAATAACATCAAAATGTAAACAGCGACGCTCCATTGTCTTTTTTTAGACACAGATGTAAATGCATGTTCTTGTATTATAAATAAAGATTCTAAAGCGAAGACACAAACTGAACACGTATGCGCAAAAATGAATTAGACTCTGTAATGTACGTGGGTGAATATTTTGTATCCTAGATTTATTTCAAGAGTTGAAAATTGATGTCAGCACCCCCACCAGTCTATTTCATGGGCTGGTGTGTAATCCAACAAACTGAACTGTGTGTGTGTGTGTGTGTGTGTGTGTGTGTGTTAGCTGGTATGCATCCATACTTCCTGAATTTTTCATTTTCGCTGGGGCTTTGGTTATTTTATCACACACACACACACACAGAGCTGTGTATTCCAACAAACCCACTGGCAGTAATTGAGCAGTACCATCTCAATGTGTGTGTGTACTTGTATGGCCAGCAGTGTGAGGGCCAGTTTGAATTTTAAACCATGCGAGTGAGGACATTTTGGCTGGTCCTCACTTTCTCAGACCCCTTCAAAGGGCTGTTTGAGGGTCAAGATTTGGTTTTAAGGTTCAGGTTAGGTGTTAGGTAAAGGGTTGTGATGGTTAAGGTTAGCGTTAGGGTTAGGGTAAGGTAAGGGGCTAGAGAATGCATTGTCTCAATGAGTGTCCTCACAGACATATACTGTATGTACAAACATGTAAACAAACATGTTTTGTACAAATTATTACAGGGCGATTAGATATGTTGTACTGTTGTACCTCACAGGATCATTACAAGGCGATCAAAGATATGTGATAGGTGTGTGTGTGTATGACAGCAGGAGCCTGAGGGCCATGAGTAAACATGTCAATATGTCTGCTACCTTCTCTCACTCTAAATAAAAATAAATGGCTGCACACATTCGGCTTATGTGAAAGTCTGCAGGATTAACGCGAGTGTTTCTCTGTGCTTTCCGTAATACATCCTGTAATACATCATGATTGGCAGGTTGGGCTTAAAAATGAACCTGGTCTGGTTAGAATCACAAGTCTCTCAGGCCTGGTGACATGAAGCACTGCAGCAAGAAAGCTTTTAATAAGCATCGACACACAACAGAAACCCAGGGCGCCCTTGAAATAAAGCAGTACATTACATTTCCAAAACACGACTGTTGAAAAAGTTGCAAAGCTACTGGGTTCTGCTGTTTATCGCCCAAAACACAGTCAGCAGACAAACTATATTTTGCTTTTGGAAACCTGAATGAACTTAAGGTTCCTTCAAACTTAATTTAAAGCTACTCTACCTCATTTCTTTTCAGCCTAGAGAGTCTCATGAGACTCAAAACAAACTGACACCTTGAACGGTTCCAAGCTGCACTTTACCCCTCCCATCACACCATGTTTCCTATAATTACAATGTGAACTACAGATGCCTGGTTGGGACAAACTGTACAAAATGCAGCCTCCAGTCTGAAGCTAGCATTAGCTGGCTAACAGTGAACGTGTCAGTCCAGTAAAATGCTCTGGTTACTGCTAATGTGACACAAAGCACTAAAATTACACAAAGCTTGAATTACTCCCACATTAAACTCATATTAACTCAACACAAAGGTAAAATCCTGACCATGCTAGGTGGCTAATGCTACCAAAACAACTAGGTTAGCTTTAGATGCTAACACATCCAGAAGGAAGAACACCACATCTGAATCCAGTCTGAGTCCTCTGGCTGCTTTTAACCCTCTCCATGTCAAACAGCCAAACCCATGTTAACCCTGGTTGTTGCTCTTTCTTTGTCCCACTCTCTCTGTTCATAAGACGCCACCTCTTCACTCTGGCAGCCGCTGGTTCAGACTTTTAGCCGCCCAGAGCTCCTCCATGGCTGTTTGACATGACTACTGGGAATGGAAAGACCCTTCTTCTAACCTCGGCTAGGTGGCAGATGGGGCTGATTTACAGACCATACTTTGACAACACAGGGTGGAGAAGCTGTAGGCAGTAGAGGGTCATGGAGGGGGGAGTGTAGCTGAGAGACACCACGTCCTGTGCTCCTGACAATGTGGGAAATCTTAGTTAATGCACCTTTAACTATAGAGTTCTTGGCAGCTGCATACTATGTCAGTGGAAAATGTGAGTGAATGCTAAAGCAAAGGCAGTTTCAGCCTGGGTGAAGAATTTATGCCTCTCTTGACTCAGCCTGATAAATGCACAGTACGTGTGAAGTTTCTGGTGATGCCGTTCTGTCTAAGTAACATCAGGTAATCAGCCATCAAATGGAGGTTGTATTGCATTTCTAAACATTTTCCTCTAGTCATAAAAGTAGCTGAAGAACTTCAGGATCATCCAGCTGCTGTTGCCGTGCTTCATAAAGACAGCTCTAAAGACAGGGTCCACATTTCGCATTTAAACTGGCAGTTTGGCTGGGAAACAGTTTCATTCTTCTGGTAGAGGAACTGCAACCAAGGAACCACATTTCGCATTTAAACTGGCAGTTTCATTCTCCTGGTAGAGGAACTGCAACCAAGGACGTAACAGATCCTTTAGACAGACATACTGTAGCTCCTGTCTGTTAAGGACGTTTTTTTTTCTCTAATCCAGTCATTGCAGATGGTTCTCCAAAACACTGTGGCAGATTTTTCTCTTATATACCAATTTAATTATGTCTCACTGGTCTGAGTTATTTCCTCAGGTGGTGAGGGTATGCAGATGCACATGCACACTCATATGCAAGCACAAGAGCTGCAACACTGCCTTTTCCTATTTACCCATCTCTTGCTTTCACCCATAGTTTCTGACTGACACAGTTGCCCTCCTCTGTGGACCACTTGTGAAATTAAACCTCAGTTTTTTTTTGGCTAATTTGTTATTTAAAATGTTTGTCTCCCTCCACATGATGACTAGAGAACTGGCAACATTTAGCTTCAAATAACCTGTCTGTTTATTTGCTTATTTGCTCATTAATAACATTGGATAACCATAAAGCCGTGCAACAGTAAAACTAACCGTGTTTTACTGAACCTTTCAAACACATATAAAACAACAAACTGCTGTTGTTGTTATTATACTTGCCTGCAGTGGACTATGATAGGACACGAGCGTCCCCGGTAGCACTTGTTAACTTTCCTATGAAAAAAGAGAGGAGAAAGAAGAAATCAGTGTCTAATAACCACACAGACCAACCTGCATAACACTGTTCATTCTAACTGTAATTAGGAATAAAGAGACAGAAATGTTCCTCGGGACCGCTAGAGTTTAGGTGGAGGTGAACAGTTTTCAGATCATCACAAAAATATTTTCTAAGCTTGTTTAAGTGTTATCATGTGATACTGAACACTGGCATCAGGGCCATTAGTTCACCGTTTCTCCCACTTACCATGTCTGTGGAGTACAGTTTCACGAGTAATTAAGTTTACTTCAATGAGTTCAACTCTGGGTAAGACTAATTATATGTGTCTGTAAAAGCACTCTTTACAGTTTGTTTTTCCATTTAAATGGAGTTTACTACTGTGCCATGTGCAGTAGGCAGTTTGATCAGTGAATGTGATTCGAGAGTCACTGTCTCTGACACCGAGGAACGCCACAAGATTCGACTGAATGCTTTGACCACACCAGGTGGGTCCGGTGTTGAGAATCGTTCTCATCAAACAAACTGCAACCACTTCCAGTGAAGTGCTGAGTCATCAAGAAATATAATAATATACCAAGTATAATATTATATAAAGTACAAGGTTACACATAAAAAGAATGTAACATTAAATAAATTATAAAGAAAAATAAAAGACATTTAAAAAAATCTAATCAATCCTGTTCTTCAACACTGTCTACTCTTTAAAAAAACAAACCCCACTCATCTCTGAGAAAACAAAGGTCTGTGATGATCAAGAACATGTGAACAAGATGAAAAAAGAATGATTTGTCAGCACTGACCTCACAGATGTGCATTACTTTCCATGCAACATACAGCATGTTAAAGCTGCACTGTGTATCATCATTAAACATGCTGTCAAAAATAACAGTGGAAGTTTAGCAACAGCTCCTCTGGAAGAACAACGCCCACTGGTCTGACTGGCCAGCGTGCTCAAAATTATTAATAGCAGCCTTAAGAACATCACTGATGGAAGCAGTGTGCTACCCTGAAACAACTAAAAAGATATTTATTTTAACAGTAACCCTCATGTATCTGCAGGTTTTAAATCTGTGTGACTGAAACACACTCAACACAAATGCCACTGAGTCTTTTATTCAGAGAAAGAAAACCATCACTTTGTTGCATCATAATAATCCATGATGGAGGATGTGGATCTGCATCTGTGTGTGCTACTTCCACGTGCGCATAACAAATTAAAACTGTGTTGAAAACCACATCCTTCTTTTAAAAAATGGTGGTATGAGCTTCATGCGTCGTTCATCAGCATGCACAGGAGCTAGCGGCTCTGCACAAACATGCAGCTTCTATGTGGGCAAGACGCAGTGAGCTGTGACTCCGATTCCAGCCGGAGATCATCTCTGACTCTATTTCATGGTGATAACTACAGAACGATATGCATCAGACACATACTATGTAAAGACATGGTGTGTGGTGTGTGTGTTCCATAATGCGCTGCTCAGTCATGGAGGGAAACCTCAGACCTGCAGTGTTGATGCTTCACTTTTTCCTCCCTTCAGCTTAAAGTTTCCACAGTTGTTCACATTTACAGGGAGTGTCATGACCTTCGGGTGCTTGAAACCCCCGATCTCCTCACCATAAACAGCTTTCTCAATAAAAACCTGTTGATATTTCCCTTCATTTTATGACTGCAATTTATTTAAACCCTGGAAATTATAAATGCTTTATTTTTATCAAAGCGGTTTGATTTGGCTGTTATTTTGCATGACACCTCATAAACTTAGCACATTCAATATTTCTGTAAATGAGCTTTTCAGCTGATAATTTTTGATGTATATAGCACAAAAAACAGAATCATATATTTGTTGGGCAATGGCCAAACAAACTGCTGCTAATGCCTTCAGGACTTTTTGGACAAGATAGACGATGCATGCATCAGCAGTCTTCCGGGGGAGGGTCTCGTAAATGCACACGCATCACAAAAACTGAAGGAAGGGAGTCTTTCCACCCCAAAACCCCACACATTCTCATCCTCCACCCCAAACAAAATCGAAAAGTCAAAGCTCACTGCAGACAATCAAGAGTGAGAGTTACCATGGAAACAGCCGACAGAGGATCACCGACAGGCGGGGCGGGGGTGTATAGAGGGGTGTGGGATTCAAAGGAAATGCTCCGCAAGAGAGATTCAAGCTTGACGGAGAAAGAGACAGATCAAGAGTCAGAAAGACAAAAGAGAGAGGAGAGAGAGAGAGAGAGTGATGGCTCGGGTGAAGACAGAGACAAAAATAAACTGATGAAGAGCAAGGGGAGACTCAGAATGAATCCACACTAAGCCAAAATACGTTGTTTACATGCAAACATCGTGGGACTGCGTTAGCATTTCCACACTTAAATGCACACCTAAATGACTTTGTCCTCATTAAACTGGGAGTCACAGCCAACGTGCACTCTCTCATTAATTCTGATGTCTCTCATTAATAAAATACCATATACTTGAGAGCCAAGTCAAGTAGCGCTCATAAATGTAGGTACAATTTGCAAACAACAGTTACATACATTTGCATATGTTTGTGTCACCAGACAAATGAACAGGAATAATACAGGGTTGTGATGGTGAGTCACCAGTCCGGTCACCTCCAGACCATTAAGTCATCTGATGTAACACAACAAGCCCCATCATACAGAGAGAAGCAGTGGCTAAGGTGTGGTGAGAAGAGAGGGTGGAAGTACTAATGGTCATCTGTGTAGTGACTTCACTGAGAAGTAGCCAGAGAATGGGTGCCAGCGTTTTGCACATCAGTGGCGCGCAGCTGGTGTGTGTTACGCCGCTGACCAAATCACAATACTATGATTGTATGATCAGCTACTGTGACATTTCAAAAAGCTATCACACAGAGGGTTAGAGATGACAGATAGCTGCCGTCCTAACTTTACAGCCATACAGCTTCCACTCGTGTCTGAGCTCTGTTTTCCTTGTAAGACCAGCAAGAAAATCAGGTTTTCCAGTCTGGAGAGAGACAGTTAGGTGCCAAAAGCAGGTACCGGCTTAGTGCAGCTAGGGCTAAACTGTAGAGAAAGTGGTGTCTGTTTTTTTTGTGGTGTGAATATATTCTGAGAACACTAGTCAGATTTCATCCAGAGGGACAGACGGAGAGAGGAAGCTCCAGATAGAGGGTGGGAAAGGAAAAGACAAAAGAGACCAAGAGAGAAAGGGAGGAGGTGGGAGGAGATCGGAGGCAGTCAAGCGAACCATGAGCAAGCAAAAAGGCGAGAGGTCATCTCAGGTCACCAGGCACAGCAAGGAGAGAGAAAGAGATGAGAGATGAAGGGGGGGGGGGGGGGGGGGGGGTCCATGAGGCCCTTTGGTTGCAGAGTCACAGTCTCCAATGATCACTTTTGTGACTATGCAACTGGGCTTATATTACTAGCTGCAACATCACAAAAATGACACTGGCAACCGCTAGTTAGCTGGTAAAACAGGGGAAAAGACAGAGGACTGTAAGCAGTGCATCACCTCAGTCAGTCAGTAAGTTGTGTGAGGTTAAAAAAAATCATGCCAGTACGAGCATTAAAAAAGGAGAGATATTCCATCCTGAAACCATCGAGGTGGAAAAGGAGAAACACCAAAAAAATAAAAGTGCAGGTTGTTATTGTGAAAGCACCATATCTGCGGTAATAAAAGTGAAAAATCTCTCCCTCTGTGCTTTCTTCATTGTGTTCTGACCCCGGCGCCCTGTGAGTAAAGGCAATATTTCCTAACTTATGATGGGTGGTGACGCCCACCAGACCCCTCTATAATAGCTGTGACCACAAACTCTCGGTCTTGATATCTCACCTAAATGATGTGCGCCAGCAGCTTGGCGACACCAGGCCTATATATAAAACCTAGCTGGGTCTATTGCTTGAGAAAATCCACAGTGAATCAGAGAAAACTGGCCAGGCCGGCTCCCACCTAATAGGCAATTCAGTATATCAGTTTAAAAGAGGTCGAAGGAGAGAAGGAGGGGAGCTGCAATAAAGGCACTGGAGATAAAGGATCACTCCAGCAGAGCTCCCTCAGTGCATCCTGAACTGCAGTGTTATCGACGGGAACATGCCCAGGATGTTTGAGGATATATAGATGCTCATGGAAAAGTGACAGGTCTGGAGCTATTACCCTGTGAACGGGTCACAGCTGCCCAGAGCCTCAGTGGTGCAGGGGCAGACAGACATATCCACAACCTTCCCTTTAACCACCTTCATTTCCTTTTTGTTTTGGATAAAAAAAGGAAAAGTGTGGCCACTACCATCAGTCATATATTCTGCTATTTGCTCAAGGGGATTTGTTGAGTTTTTCTCTCTATAATAATAACAATAGTAAACTCTAGACCTTACTTTGTAAAGTGTCCTGAGACAATGTTTGTTGTGATTTGGTGCTATACAAATAAAAGTGAATTGAATTGAATTATTTGTTTTGCCAGTTGTTCATACATAAAAACGGAAGTAAATTCTGCCCTTGGATGCTTAGAAGACTGTGGTGCATTTCAGGACCGGTTCTGTAGGTTTGGAATGAGTGCAACTGATAGACAGCTGTAAGAGTGGCAACACTTAGTGTGCGCATGATAGCAGCGTTTCTTAGTCAAGTTGGACAATGCAACGTAACCAGCTGGGAAACACTGCACAAAAAGCAAAGCACATTTACAGCCATAATCACACAAAATGTGGGTCTCTCATATCTTTTTACAGGACTTGTTCATCCAGAACAAAGGCAGAGTTGCTCATGAGCAGCCCTTTTGAGAAATGGCTTGTAGTGATTTTTGGTGTTCTTCAGTTCTGCTATAAAAATGAATCCTGTTATCTAAGTGTATTTTCACTGAAGAGCTCTTTAAAAAAGATGCGCAGGTCTTCTAAAACCTCAGTGTTTTTGCTATCTACACTAAAAACAGGCTTAAGCACTTTGCATAATAATCTTACAAAAGTCTTTATCACATGGCTAGTTCATGGCCTTCGAGGCCATGTTCTCATAGTCAGTGGCACCTCCGGCTGTGTGGGTACATTCCAATAATAAAATGGAAGAGATGTATGATGGGAAGCCAGTGAGGGATCACATCTTTGCTACTGCAATAACAGCTCCTACTGGTTGGGTGCTATGGCTGTTTTGTTCCTCCTCATGCCACCAGGGCTTAGAGCAGAAGTGAAAAGGGCCGCAGCAAGCTGACACAAACCACATTAGGTAGTGTGGAAAAACCCACCCCCTCTAAAACAACACACTGGATACATCTCAAATCTCTTATAAGACCGTTCCTAAGCCCTCAGTCCTCAGTCGACCTGGAAGTCGTTCTAGTCAACTGAGTACTGAGGACAATCCAAGTCTCTGAGGAGCCCACGACATGGCCCTTTGTAAAACATACTTAAAGTTTTTGAAGAAGCTCCCTACCTGCGGAAGTCAAGGAGTGTCCGGCTGCTTTCTGGGACATTCTGGTTGAGCCAGGTCAGGAAGTGGAACTGAGTCACGGTCCGTGTCTCGTTGGTTTGCATGTTCTTCAGGTAGAAGCTCCGAACCAGGAAGTCGTCACACCAGATATGCTCGGACACCAGGTTGACCTACATGTATGTGCAAATGTACCGTTAACAAACTGGTGTACAGCATGTAGAGAAGTAAATGGAACTAGAATATAGCATTCAATCAATCCAATCAGTCCAATCAGTGCAATTATGAGTCCCCAAAAACACCACGTGCCTCCTAAAAACTTCATATGCACATCAAAGGTCAGTGTCAATTCTGCTCATGTGACATCACCTCATAGATGTGGTACAGGTTGGAACCCTCATCGGGCCAGTAGTGGTAGCACTGCTTCACCCCGCTCTCGACGAGCGGCGTCAGCATGACGATGACCACGCAGCCGTTCTCCCACACCATCTACAGACAAATACACTCAGTAAAACTCATCGCAGGGGCAGGTGAAGCCCTCACATGTCACTTTCACAAGCTGCTTCACTGGACCAGGTTAGCTCCACACCTGTTCTAACTACTACCTGCAACTGAGAAAACTACAGCACTGTATACAGGATATATCATTACATTTTTAAAAGCCCTGATGTTCAAACACAGATGATGTATCTTCCAGGGATTTATGTTGCTTAATGTTCTTGCAAAACTTTCAAAGTTTGTTAAAATGTCAAGCCATGTAAAATGTCAGAGCCATTTTCCAAGAGTAGGAGTCACGTTCTTGAAGTTGTGCTGAGCTCAATCTGGAACGAGCTCTCATATGAGGCTGTCAACACAGAATCTGCCAGCAGGAACAGTGACATGTGTCCTCAGTCACCCACTCATTTGGATATTGGTCCATAATTATTTTAATTTTTGCTATCTAACAATTTGGAAGGGTAGCTGTGTCTGTTTTAGGGGTGGGAGGGAAAATTAGGTCTGTTTGAAACCAAACACTTATATTGTGCCTCAAACTTTGGTGAGAAACTACCAGGAAGTCAAGTGCCGTGGCACGAAAAGTAATTGCCATCGAGGCTGTTCCCTCCCCCAGTTGGGTCACTCTACAGCGAGGCTGCGTGCACGGTCGTAATTTTCCTACTGGCAGTCATATTCTCACAGCCGGAGGGTGGGCTGGCTCTGGAGATCCATTCGACTCTGATCAGAGGTAACAGTCAGCTGTTAATAAAAGCCATAAAGCAATACCGCTCCCACATCATTGCGCTGGATAATCAAGATGGCTGTACCTGCCGCTTGGTCAGGCCACACTTTGACAAAGATTTAACAGACTATAATTGCAGCGGGTTTTGAATTGCTGCACCTCTCCACCCCATCCCCAGCCGCACTGCTTCACTGATTGGTCTCATGGATCTAAAGATGTGACAGTTTGTGAGAAATGGTGTTTATTTGCTTTAGCTGAAAGGGCGAGAGCCTTGAGGACAAATTCTCTCTTATAAAACTTGGGTTTGTAAAAATGCAAATTTTATTTGGACCCTTATTTATCCCTGAAAAGGTTCATGTGCACACTGCACTCTGGTCTAGAATTGCACTGCTTCTCAGCACACACGTCCACGTTTCAGCTGCTGGACATTGTGGAGTATGTGACTTCAGGATTTGTCCAAGGGCACCTCAGCAGGGCCCCGATGGTGTAATGTGATATATGTGGTGTAATAACCTTGGCAGCTCCTGATTAAGGAGCCTGATAAGACACAGTAAAGCTGGTTAAGTCAACTGGGCCACAACACAACAAGCAGCCAGAGCACAGAGGCCTGTAAAGCACAGAGAAGCTACTTAATGAGCCTGCGATGAATCCATGATGAGCAGCAGCAGAATTTTTAAATTATCTTTTCAACTGTGGGCTGTGGACGAGTCACCGACTCTCCGACACACACACATATTTACGCTATAGTTCCTAGATTACAGCTCAGTTTACGCGGCCTTATTAGAAGAGGATTTTGATCTGAAAAATACTCAGATCTTCAGCAACCTCTCTAACCTGGTGATTTTAATGGGCAAACACTGGAACCTGTGCACTGACAGGCTGTAATTGTAACAGATGATAAGTGTACGGATGATAACAAGCTCCATTTTTCCCTTGTACTTGTTTCCTCCAGAACTTCTGTTCTATAAAAAATGATTAAACACTGACACAGGGAGGAGGAAGAGAAAGTATTAGCATAAATGTACCCAGAAGTTTTACTTTCACCAAAAGTTACACAGCCTCGCTTGGTGTTACTGTATCTGCTCCCACTCAACTGGGATATTTTTAAACTTACATTACACTGGAAGCAAAACTGGACATTTAAATATTTTACTTT